TCTCTTTTCAAAATTTCAATTTGTGCTTGGTACTTTATTTGTGCTGTTATATTTCTCTCTTCTTGGTTAGGCCTACCTCTTTATGTTCCTTGCAAACTCCTAGACAGTCATTTATAAGAATTCCGTATTTTCTTCTCACAAAGTCATTATAATGATACACTGATTCACAGATAACACAAACCACTGATTCAAACTTAGTGTCATCATGGCACTTATAAAATTTACCGCGGGCCGATCTGAATCATTTCCTCTACAATTACTCGATTTTTTCATTAAATCCTCTGTCTTAAGGGTAAATTTAAACGAAGGATGTAGATCACCGTATACTACGCAAATACTGCGTTGGTTAGTGCTTTATACCGAACCATTTCTTTTATGTGGTTCTTCAACAGTCATTCTACGGTGGAGAAGATATTTTAAATTGTAAGTCGGATGTGTTTCGTTTGTCTTAAGCTAGTTAGCAATTGGCATCATCAAAATTTTGAACATTGGTTGTAGTACTTTATTTCGATTGAGAATATTTACAACCGTTTTAGTATCGCTTCCTTCATTTCATTAAAGTCTACAAAAAACTTTATACCGTTAATAAAAACAACTAGACCCTTAGAACTCTTCAGTTGATATGCATCACTAATTCAATAAAAATAGTGATTTGATTCTGATTTTTATATTTGCACCTACCTACGACGATAACATAGTTAACGCGAGGGGCGCAATCCGCATACGTGCGGAATTAGCCGAGTCAAAAAGGCAAGAGAGTTTTTTAAGTTTTGAGATCTAAAACTGTTCAGTTACAGAACATCTAAAATATTATAAAAAACTTGGAGAGGCCATCGAAAACACCCTGCTTTCACACTATATTTGCGTGCCATCTGGTCCGCGACATCGACACCAAACTTTGTTTTATTATAAAATGTAATAGTTTCTGGAACACATTTTCTATTGTTTTCTATCTATATATTTCTATGCTTGGTGCTTAGAAGAAGGACTTTTGCTTTAGGTTTACTTTTATACACAGTAAGTGTGCAGTCTTCTGATTTAAATAAATTTGATGAAAATAATGGCATCTCGTCCTTTCTTTCTTTCGCTGGTTTTGGTAGTTCTCTCTTGTTCGAGTGGGTGGTCCCAATCAAGGTTGTCTTTAGTTCAAGCAATTTTTTGGCCAGTGGAATGCTTGTAAAAAAATTATCGGTAGTGATATTTCTTCCTCGATGTAAATACGGTCCGGATAATTACACGTTACAAACTGGCCCAACGAATTTGAGCATCGAGTGTCATCTATTCCCATGTAAGGGAAACCATTCAAAATATATTTTGATTTACCGTCAACCGCTAACCAAAACTTAATACCAAATTTATGCGGCTTATTTGGCATGTATTGTGTAAATCTGCAACGGGCTTTAGTTGGAAACAGTTGTTCATCCACTGTGATATTTTGATGTGGTTTATTACAAGCCTGGCTGTTGCTTATAAATCTGTTCCATAGTTCAGAAATGAGTGCAAATTTATCGGCTTGTAACCTTTCGGATCGTTCGGTTCGTTTATCAAAACGTATAAATCTCAAAATTTGGATAAATCTATCTCTGGTCATTGTGTCTCGGAAAAAAGAAGGACCCCATTTTTTGGACCACAGATAAGATACTTTCAATGATCGTAAGTGCCCCGGCATATAGTATTACCAGAAAACTATTTAATTCGGAAACTGTAATATTCAAGTCGTTCTTCAAAACTCGACGTTCCTCGGTTTCGGTGCAATCTTTTATGTATTCGGAGGACACCTCAGAACAATCCTCATTGATGTTGTTAATTTTGGTCAATTTCTTATTATATCTCGTGTTTTTACTCATGATTGCTAGAAAAGGGTAATCAGTGAAAGTAAAAAATACCTTGCCCAAATTCAATTACCCTATTGTAAACTGTTCTTACAATAAGCGGCTCACTACAATAACCAAAACTTTTGCACACTGTCTTCGAAAAATGTTCTTACAACTGTCACTGCAGCAGCTATACTGAAGACCGGGTCGTTCCTTAAAGATATTTTCAGAGATTATCGCAGCCTAACGTCTATTGCGCTATTGAGATAATGAGTATGGGGTCTTAGACCTTTCTTTCAGTCTTATATTTGCTATTGGAGATAAAATTTTACAAGCGAAGCAAATATATAAGGATTGTTTACGTAATCAGCTAACCCATCAATTTGACGGGTCCCGTAGAGATAGGTATACCACATATGAATCTCAAAAAGTAGAAGGTTTAGAAGGAGGAAATTTTGTGTATAAATTCTTTAGAAGAAATTATGAAAGTTTGAATTCCGTCAAATAGACGGGTCCCGTAAACCTGGTGTTAGTAATATTGAATATTCTTCCAAAACTTGATTCATCGCCTTCAAGGTTTAACTGATTTTTGATATGATGCACACAATTTAAAAATTGAAGAAAAAATTTGTTTCGTTGCCAAATAACATTATTATAATTTTCAAACTCACTCAACAAAGCTTATTTTTTATTCGTACAAATTCATAGCACTCTGAAATTTTACTCGAAGTTATTGTTTGTTTTTATTAATACGACCTATTGTCTGAGCCTCCATTTCGAGAGCTCTTTATAATTTAATTTATCACTTAAAACTACGAACACTTAAAATTTAAATTTCTGTTCTAACAAGTGAATAAATTTACAACTTTAAATTATGTTATTGGGTGTATGCATTAATTTGTGAGAGAGGGCTCTACTAGTATTATTTCGCGTCGTGTTCATTTCAAAGGTACTGGCATTTCGCGTAATTTTCAGTAGATGTCATTTGCTTTAGCGTGAACAACAATTGGTTTCATTCATTTGAAAATGTCGAAATTTGTACCAGATAAATTGTTTTTGCGGGGAGTTCTTCTTCATTACTTTAACATGAAGAAAAGTGCTACCGAAAGCCGTCGTATTTTACGGGACGTTTATGGTGACCATGCTTCAGCCGAACGAACGTGCCAAAAGTGGTTTGCATGGTTTAAAAGTGGCAATTTCGACTTAGACGACGGAGAACGGCCCGGACAGCCAAAAGAATTTCAAGACGAAGAATTGGAGACATTGCTTGACGCAGATGCATGCCAGACGCAAGAAGAACTTGCAAAAGTATTAGGAGTTGATCAAGCAACCGTTTCCAGACGATTAAAATCATTAGGATTCATCCAGAAGCTTGGAAATTGGGAGCCTTATGAATTAAAGCCAAGAGACGTCGAACGTCGATTCTGCATGTCGGAAATGTTGCTTCAACGCCACCAAAAGAAGTAATTTTTGCATCGGATTGTCACTGGCGATGAAAAATGGATTCATTATGATAACCCAAAGCGCAAAAGATCGTATGTGAAGCCTGGCCAACCATCGACATCCACGGCAAAGCCGAATATCCATGGTGCCAAGGTTATGCTATGTATTTGGTGGGACCACAAGGGTGTGCTCTATTATGAGCTTTTGAAATCGGGTCAGACGATCAATGGGGACCTCCACCGAAAACAATTGATTTGTTTGAAAAAGTCCATCACGGAAAAACGACCAGAATATGCGACCAGACACAAATCAATAATTTTTCATCAAGACAACGCTCGGCCACATGTTGCAAGGCCAGTTAAAAACTATTTGGAAATCTGTGGGTGGGAAGTTCTACCTCACCCGCCTTATAGCCCAGACATAGCACCTTCCGATTACCACTTGTTCAGATCAATGCAGAATGCCCTCACCGGAGTACGCTTCACTTCAGAACAGGGTATCAGAAATTGGCTCGATTCTCTCTTGACCTCAAAGCCGGCTGGAGAAGTTCTTTTGGGATGGGATCCAAAAACTGCCAGAAAGATGGGCAATCATCGTACCTTCCGATGGGCAATACTTTGAACATTAAATGTATAACAATTTTTTCACAATAAAATCTTAATTTTCAGAAAAAAACCGCACGAATTAATGAATACACCCAATAGTATAAGTAATTGTAATTTAAATGATATGATGCTTAATACAAAATTGACCTGGGAATGCCTCAGTCAATCAGCCACTCGAACCAGTTGCAACTTGTGAGTCAGCCTTGTGGTTTACGATTAACGTTCGCTGCTGTCGCAATCACCGACTCTGCTGCGCTATTGCGGGGCAATCGGTTCAATGTACAACTCGTTCGCCAATACCAACCAACCGCAAGCTGTTCGTTGCCAACTTGTTGATGACGCTCAACGATCGTTGTCTCTTGCGTCAAGTCTTAGAAGTGCCTTTCCAAATACCTTTAAAGAAAAAAATATTGTATAATGTATCAACATATTTTTTGTAATGACTAGCAATAAGTCCTACCACCATCGCTTTGGCCGACGTAACTTCCAATACCGACCGATGTGAAGGTGTACTTGGCGTCGCAAGTTGCCATCAGTACAATACTGTTCATTTACATTCTCTGGTTAAAGTACATGGAGCCAGAGTGCTTTATACATGTTATCGCAATATGCTTGCCATCTGTCGCTCCCACACTGGAAAGCCCACTAAACTGGGTTCACTCAGATATATGGGTGCCAATGTGTTCCACATATCTTCGCAGGTCTCAAGTATAATAACGCGAAAGGTCGCAATGACTTCAGCTATAAATCATATAATTTCCGGGTCACCCTTGTATGGACGAAAAGCTTCTCCTCATCCTGGTGCTTCATTTTTAAAAAATGTACTCTGTTATGCAACGAGTCGAATGAAAAATTTCCATATTTATTCGTTCCCGTTAAAGCCAAACCAAATGCGATCCTACCTATATAGTAGTATTATCGCCTATCATGAGCGAGTTAGAATTATATTCACTATTTAAAAATAAAAAATATTTTTTTCTATTTTGAGCACTAGCGTTGTCCTTTTTATTGATAGCAAATTATAAATGTCCTATATTTGATTTGCTTATATTTTTACCTCTATGTAAGTTAATTAAAATACACGACTAGTTTGGTCAGTGGTCTAATTTATTCTGCCTGGTGCTTCTCCATTATTCAGCTCATCATGCTCAGCTTCATTGCATTACCGTATTGTCGTTTTCAAGGTCTTAGTTGCAATAATTGTTAATGAGTGAACCGATTTCCAAAAGTCCTCATTACGGTTGACACCAGTGGGATCGGTTAGTGACTCAATGTTACACCACAGTGTGGTTGCTGCTTAGGTGAGTGATAATATTCCAACGCATTAAATAACCAAAACAGGTTTTATGCTAAATTAATTTATAATGCACTTAACTGTTTTTAACGAATTAAAAATGCACTAACCGTTTCGGTTGAACTCCAAATTGAGTCTGCTTTTATTTTACATATATATTCTTAACTTAATCTACGCTGTTGATTGCTGCTGTCGCCAAATATGCTGCTGCGGATGACTACGTGACTTTTTTTGTAAACCAAATGCAGGTGTTCCTTTAATGTGTCAGCTATTTTGGTGGGAAACAGAATTTAATGCAAAGAAGTTGCATTCCTTAACTTGTTATAGTATACAAATATGCAAAATATGGAAACATATATATATAAGCACTATAAGTAAAAATATGCAAATATACATACATGCAATACAAGTGAAAACATGTAGAATTTTGTTTACAATTTGTTAAAATATACAAAGTAATAAGATTTAATGAACATACGCACCTGTTGCTTCCAGCTCCTTTGCTATAACAACCCAAGCTGCTATTTTCTTCTCCGGCAGTCTGTAGCCCGCGTAATTTTTTTGTATAACACTTCGTTGTTTCGCACCAACTCCACTAATCGTCAATCTAAAAATGATATACATTAAATAAATTATATTACCTTATTTCAATTATAATTGGTAAGCTTACTCTTTCTAATAATGATTTCTTTGGCTTCGCTTTTAAAAAAATAATGCCAAATTGTTATTGCTTCCAACATGGAAATCACGAAAAAGTTGGATATTGGCTGCACTGTTTTGACATATGTTACGCGAATTATATCTTCTTGGGATTTGTATAGCGAATATTATTATTATCGAACCCATCTATTTCTTCTTTTCCAAATTTTGCCGCCCTAGAAAATTTGCCGCCCTGGGTACCAGCGCCAATCCATCAATGTGGAAACAATTAATTAGGGACAACACGTCTTTTTTTATTAAACGACACTTTTAGAACTGAAGCTTAGATTATATCTAATTGAAACGTAAGGTTGGCAGCGCGGTAATGTGATTGTCATCGTAAACGTAGCTAACGCTTAGCATGCGAGTTTTGGAATAAATGACCGAATAGTTCGATATCAAATTTTATTCTCATGTGCTCGTGGAAACCTAAGTATATATCTTTCAATAAACTGAATTATTAGTTTTTGTTACTAGCTCGTGCGGAATCCTCTTTACTGCTGTTAATTTGTCGCCTTCGTGCAAAAATAGAACATCGTAATTTCTTAGTAAATTTGATATTAGCTTATATTCCTCGTTATTTAGGGTTTTTAACAGTTGGCCAACTGTCCCTGTTGTTGTTGATTGCGTTGTGAGAAATTGTACGCCATAGTTAATCCTTCTGTTTCTAGAATTGAAAAGGCTTGCCTTATGATAGTAACATTTTTATTTATAATAACTGAAGCTAGGTTGGCGCTTATATATTATAATACCCTCGACAAATGGGTCTTCGTACCCTGAGCATGCGTACAAGTAACCCCTGCCAAGCATACCTGAATACTGTCTATGCTATGCTAGCATGTGTTGTTTGAATCTTTAAAAATACCAAGAATAATTAGAAAGAGTAGGCTGTTCAGCAACTGGACTATCTTGAATTTCGATAGGTTTAGCTATATCGTCTGAAACAACTGGATTTTCACTCTCATCGGTTAACTCGCCCAAGAAACGTTGACTAATTTTAATGTCATAATGCTTATAAAGATGAGTAGCTACAATATAACTGAGCCAGTCTTTAACAATCCCTTTTTTTACCAATCCGTGCAAATAACTAGATTTGTGCATTAATCGTTTTTTTATGTGTACATTTATACAGTAATCATCATCTATATTTCGAAGCAGAGTTTGAACCATGTTGTCCAGTGATTCCATATTGCCCTAGTACGTATCTTAGCCGTCGAATTTGCATAAAGGGTAATCTCGGTGCTATTAATCGCTCGGAAACTAAATCCAATTCAGGAAGATTGGGTTTAGGCGGGTACTTAAATCCATTGTACACAGCCAAGTCTGGTATTTTTCCAACAGTTAACGAAGTTCTACAGGTCGCACACACAAAAATGTCTTCCAACAAGACAGCTGGGTATATTTGTTGTAAAATTTCCCAGCACGACAATGGTGGAGATTTCAAATCATTTTTGAACCATAGTCTATCACAAACAGTGCACGCAAAACCAAATGGGTTATCCTCAAATAAGGTTTTAAAAAGATTATGAGCTCCATTATGTCTCACATATGATGTATAGACCGGTGAAGGATTTTCTTCTGCATGAGCTCTTCGTGCATTGAGTCTTTTTAGGTACCGACGATAACGTACGTTTGCAGAAACACTAGTGTTTGCATTGTCAGTACTATTTTCAGGAGCCTGCGGCGAAGATTCATCGTTGAAGATTTGTTGAGGTTGGTTTGACGAATTTTGAAATTCATATGTATTAACAATTGATTCTCGAATTATAATTGTATCTCGACTTGTACTTGTATCACTGTCACTAGTGCCTCGGTCAATATTGGCACCACATTTTAGCCGCTTGCATTTTTGACGATACCTACGGCATCGTTCCATGTTTAGTTGTTTTTGATGTAAAAGTTTTTAGTAGCAACATTTTCAGATACAGGCTCACCACTTTGAACGGTACTAGTACTCGGCACGGCACCAAGATATTTTTTCCTTTTTCTATAAGCACGTGCTCTGTCAGGGTTCTGTTTTTACAGCGTAAAATTAATTCATCGTCATTAATTTTTGCACCATTCTTCACTTATTTTCCTCAATGACCAGTTTTTCGGACTCACTAGGTGTGTCGTTGTTTACCAACAGCAAATAAATAACACTATTTACATGATAACACCAAACAAAATAACGCGGAGCACTGGCATAAATGAGTAAAACAGTCTGTAGTATGAAGTGTATTCAATAAAATAATAATATATTCGGATATGTTGATGACAGATACAAGAGAGGTGTTTACTTGAAGCACGTGTTTAAATAACTGAAGCGGGAGTAATATGACCGAAAGTTACCATGGTTCAAAACTATAGTTTAAAATTGACTATAGTGATCACGCATGCGCAATAAGCTATACCGCCCATCCACACAGATTAAATAATCTATAGTCTATACACTACACGGTCAGCTGATACGAGCTATAGGCGAAGCCATATTGGCATCGACTGCTCTGTCGAGCAGGGGAAGGGAGCGAAGGGAGTTATATATATTTGGTATCACAGGACATAAGTATATAGTACATATACATACATATAATATATTTATTTTCATTGGTCATTAAAAGCTTTGATAACATCTGAAAAGACCAAGCAGTCGCACACATGCTCATATAAGTTACGTCCCCTTAAGTTATAGGGACTAAAAAAAGGTATTTTTTCTATTCGGACAGTCCGTCTTTATTGAAGCCAAATATAGAACTTAAACTAACAATTTTAATTGATTGATTTTTATACCACTTACAACTATGATAGATTCCTTACTAAAGTATTAGTAATAAATTTAGCAAAAATAATAGGAACACGATTTCCTGTTTACAAGTTTATTACCTGTATGTATAATATGTCCGATGAATTAAATTTCGTCTTCTATTGTGAAAGTTAAAAGGTGAATGTTTTTAACTTTATTGATTGCGATATCTTTATTGATATATATATAAAGAACAAAAATAAGTGCTGCTAGTTAAAGCAACGTTCCCATCAGGATGTCGATCTTTGATGACTGCTGAATGCTGACTGCTCGATGGTCATTGATTTGCCACAGGGTGGTCATTCGTTTACAGTCGGCCTTTCCTGACCAACTTGAGCGACCCCGATCAATTCGTTGTTGTCGATATCTTCTTCTTCGGCATCGTTATCTTCTGGTAATTGACACCGGCGTTTTAACTTGTCGATTGAATAAACAGAAGAATAATGTTTTCTAGTTCGTCGAGTTTGGGGAAGATCTTCGACCACATAACGATCGTGATCAAGAACTTTGGTAACTACGAATGGTCCTTTGAACCGTGGCTCGAGTTTTCTTGACGTGCCTGTACTCGGTGGTTCATTTTCAGCTAAGACTAAGTCACCTTCTTGGAAAATACTCGGAGATCGATGCTTTGCGTTAAAACGAGATTTCGCAGCTGCCCGTGTTTCGTTAATTCGTTTGGCTGCCGTTTCACGAAGATTCGTTAATTGTATTCCATCTAATGCTTCATCGTTTGCTTGTAAACTAAGAATAATTCTGTTGCGTAAAATATCACGTGGTTTATACCCATATAACAACTCATGAGGAGTGCAACCCGTGGTACTGTTCTTCATCGTGTTTATGCACCACTGTACACAGCGTATGTTTTCGTCCCATTTTTTATCGGTAGAATTCGTCGGTAACAGCATTGACAATATTGTACGATTTTTATATTTGTATCGTAGATTTATATCAGTTTCGTTTTTAATGTCTATTGTAACTTCTCGTTTACCATATGTTCACTCGTTCTTATGTTTTAGATTTGTTTTGACTACAAATCACAACTCGTTGATTTTCGTTTCGTTTCCTTTCGTTTTTGTTATTTCGTTGGTACTCGTTTATTTTAAAATTCGTTTCTCGTTATATAACGTTGCTCGTTCGCTGTTATCGTTTAACATTGCTTCCTCTTTTCGTTGATCGTTTAGTGGTTCGTTGTCGCTGCAGATCGTAGATACATATTTACATAAATGTGATAGCTTTCCATTTCACCTCGATGCTTCGTTTTAGTTGACGTTGATTGGTTTTGCCTGATTACATGACTGATTCTTTCGCACTCATTGTCAAATTAGCCTTTTAAATGTAACTGCTGAATCGCCGCTTGCTTGCACGTAATGGGAACGTCGGAGCGCTAGGGCTCCTGCACATTTATGGCTATACTTTTCTTATTTGAACAACTTTACATGCGTTTATGCGTTCACGTATACTTTTAGCACTCAGATTCATCCCACTTCTGAACTGAAAGTTAAAAGGTGAATGTTTTTAACTTTATTGATTGCGATATCTTTATTGATATATATATAAAGAACAAAAATAAGTGCTGCTAGTTAAAGCAACGTTCCCATCAGGATGTCGATCTTTGTTGACTGCTGAATGCTGACTGCTCGATGGTCATTAATTTGCCACAGGGTTGTCATTCGTTTACAATTGTTTGTATTCTGTTTAGTGTAAAATATTTAAACGTACTTATGTAGTCGGTTATAAGAGCTTGTTGCTTGTTTATGTGGGTTGTAATGTTGTCTATCTGTTGTGTTAAGAACCTGTTAAAGCGTGTTAATTTGATTGCATTGTCAGTGATTGTCTGTTCATCCTGATCAAATGTGTTTTTAATTTCTTGTTCGTCATCACTGTCCATGGAGCCTGCTATGAATTTCAAGCCCTTACCTAGTACGTTAACTAGTCCTCGCTTGATTTTTGGGTGTGGTCGTAGCTTATCTATTTTTGTATTTAGTAAAATAAAATTTTCATTAATGGATTCTAAAACCCGCGTGTCTTCGAAAGAAGCTGTTTTCAAATTTTTATGTTGTCCGTGATACGTAACATCGTGTTCTCGAATGTAGTCAGGTTAATGAAATGTAGCACCTTGTAATAATGGTTAATTGTCTTCAGTTCTTCTGTCTTGATTGGTATATACCCGTTGTTGTTCGTCAAGTCCTGCACACTGATCTGTTGGTTTTTGACACCAAGAATGAATGTCCAGAAGAAGATAATCGTTAGTAACATTTTCCTGTTAGAGTGAGGGTAACTGGTTTAGTATTGTCTAATATTTTTCTTATGAACTATCCTGCCTGACTTTCTTTTAAAGGTTGTGTTAACGTTCTCCGCTACGATCTCCTTCTTATACCTAGCTGATAACTTTACAAATATGATATCGCCCATTGAAAAGTTTTTCAGGGTTTGTCTATCTTTGTTCTGATAACAAAGTTCCTGTTGTTGTTTTCTAAGTGATTTCTCCTTGATTTCCTGCCTATCTTTCTCTTATAATTCTCCGCCCAAAAAATATTTCGATTGGTTTTTTCAGGGTCGTAGAATGCACGGAGTGATTGTACTCTTTAACGGATTTTTTCAATAATTCCCTGAATGATCTGTAGCTCTTTTCCACTTGCAGACAGCGCATGAAAGCGCTCAACTTGTCCGTTAGAGCAGCTAGAATATGGGGGTGTTCGATATATTTCTGTACCGAATTCATTGTTAATCATGAAGTTTATTGATTCTGAGTTGAAGGATCTCTCATTGTCCATTACTATTGTTTCCGGTACTAAAGTGAAAATAATATCCCTCAGTGGTTGCCTTATATCTTCGGTTGCTTTGGAGCGAATAACTTTTGCTACTGCATATTTAGAATAAGCTGTTTACTCATTATTAATATGTCTATATGGACTATTTGACCTGGAAACTGAAGTATAGGAGTAGCTTGTATCTGAGGTTTTGGTGGATTACGCTTGTATTTGTTTTCTTTGCATGTAATGCATGCTTTGACAATTTTCTTAATTTTATTTGTCATCCCAGGGAAATAATACCCTTCCAAAATTTGTGTTTTATTTTCTTTACTATTCCTGTGGGCTCTATTATGTGTTCTTATAATTATTTCCTCTTGCTTTTTTTCATTAGTTATATCCGCGACTTCTACCTGAGTAAACCTGATTTGATACTTGCTAAAATGTACTGGGTGTTCCTGTATTTTTCCCATTTATGTACTCTGTTTTAATGCAGTTTATTACTGATGGGTTGAGGTATCGCTTGAGGTTTGAGATAAGCGTTTGGTGACAAAACTCTGAAACATGTCGATGGTATGTTGGAAATATAATTCCGAATTGATAAGAGGACACTTCGTCGTTTTTAAGAAATATTTGATTTTTGAAAGTGTTAATAGAGGCGCTTGAACGCTATAAATTAGATTATGGGATGAACTGTCATCTGAATTCGTAGCCATAGATAAAGTGTTAACCTGTGTTTCTTTATGAGGTATTCTTGATAGGGCGTCGGCCACTACATTTTGTTTGCCTGGTTTGTAAAATAGCGCGTAAGAGTACTCCTCCAGCCGTCTTCCACTTCTTCATTTTCGAGTTGTTATTTTTATTGCTAAGCGCGTATGTGAGCGGTTGGTGGTCAATGGCTTATAATCTTGGGATAGGACAGCTCCAAGAGCAAATTTGGAGGCGTCTGTTACTACAAGTAGTTGAAAACTTTTATTGTAATCGGGATATGCTAGTATAATGTCCTCAGAAGTGAGTGAAAGTTTTATGTTGTTGAAGGCTCTAATGGCATCCTCGTTCAAAAATATATTGACTTTTGAAGATTTATTTTTGGATATTCTACTTTCTTCCCCTCTTAGAAGAGATGTTAGGGGTTTAGCCAATTTTGCGTAGTCTCTTATAAATCTACGATAATATCCTGACATACCAAGGAAACTTCGAAGCTCTTTCAAAGTTGCTGGTTGCGGAAAGTTTGTAATTGCTTCAACCTTCGCAGGGTTGGTTTTAATTCAATTTGGAGATATAATATAAGTAATGAGTTCGTGGGTATTATTTTATTAAACTCACTTTATTAATATAAATTTAATAATATCTTTTATTCAATTCACTTTACTAATATAAATTAATATATGTTGGTGAGCTTTAGCTGCACCCGTCCAGCTCTAATTAGAGACGAAAAACTTAAAACTAAGCTTATCATTAATGAAGAGTCGGTCACCGTTGGCGTACGTGAATGCTTAAAGGTGTTAGGTTGCAGTTACGTTCCCAGCGGACGAGCTGCAGACGCTGACGTTTGATAATTTTCCGGTCAGCGTGAGAAAGCTTCTTTGCTGACTCAGGCCACGCGCGAACTTTATGGTTGTAGAGGTGCTCGTGTTAACTTATACCCTTTTATGTTGGCCTCTTCTAGGGTTGCAAAGATTTTCTTAATATGATTGAGGTGTTCGTCTTCAGTTCTGCTAGGTTGCGTTTGCCATCCCAAATTTCTATAACCGCTGTTCTCTTGGACGGGGCGCTAGTCAAAGCGTAAACTATTCAAGTGTTGATTATAATTATTTTGTTTACGAATATTCCTAATATCATTGTAAGCATTTCTATACCTATTCACTTGATTTCTTGTTTGACTGATTTCACTAGAGAACTATTCACACTAATTCGATTAGATTCTATTTCTTGGGCTTTAGCCAAGGCGTTGGGTAAATCTTTTGGTCCCATTGCCATTAAAATATATATAATTCAATCCTGTTACAAAAATCCTAAGCGCATCTTCCCGATGTCTTTTGTTATATTCCTTAGTCATTTCTGAACTATTTCCATAGGTCATTATAGTTTTATTAATTATAAGAGTTAACTGTGAGTTTACTTTATTATATTATTCTACTAAGTTAAGATTAGTTTGTTTGATTAGATTTAATTCCTGGTCCCATATATGCAAATTAATTTCCTTCGTTTAGGAAGTGTTAAAAAAATATAGTTTTCCGCAAACGCACGGAAGAAATCAAATATGATAGTTTGAGTGATCCTGATGGATAACTGGCCTCTTTATTTCAATTTACTCTTATTTATACAATTATTTGCTTTATTCTTACAATAAGTGTCAGTTACAATATTCGCTTATTCAGTAATTGGTTTTATTGTTTACATTTTATGGGTGGACTTAGCTTAATGAAAAATAATATTGGTTACTTAAATAAGCAAAGATGCTTATTAAGAAGCTGTATTATTGCTAAGTGCAAAGATACAGTTTTGTTTATAATTAGCGTAAAGCTACTGTGTGGAGACTGTCGTTAACTTGCAGAGGACGCTTGTCTGCATAGGCAAAGTCCAGACGACTAATAATTGCGTCAAAATTTAAAACCGCGTCATGACTAGTTTGGAGTTCATTGGCTTCTTGTGTGATTTTATTCCGAAGAATGGTTAGTGCACTGAAATATTTCCTACTTCCTTTAATGTATAATGAAATAGTATTATGTGCTGCTTCCGTCCAGCTAACATAACTGTTTTCACTAAATTCCGGTAAGGATTTTATAATATCTAAACTCTCACTACATTGAATTGTTTCATTGATTGTTTATTTTTCGAATTCCATGACATTATTTATACATGTCAAATTTCTCAACAACCTCTATTGTTCTAATTCTATTTTTAAGTCTTTTGTTTGTGTTGCAATGATTTGTGCTATTATTTCGCTATTCTTTGTCATTTTATCACTTCTAATTTATTAAAATTTTTCACTTTACAATATTTAAATTAAAACCTAACTTTAAAATTCAAGTTTTAATTAATTAACCTAAAATTAAAAAATTACTTTTTCCCCAGTGGTGTGTCTTGATGTCCAGATATTTTAATGTCCAGATGTCTTGATGTCCAGATGACTTTGCTCGAATACGTTTTTTGTTGTGTTAAAAATGCTCTTATTACTTTATGATGCACTTAACCGTTTTTAATTGAATTAAAAGTGCACCGTTTCAGTTGAGCTCTTAATTGAATCTAATTTTATTTTATATATATATTCTTAACTTAACCTACGCTGTTGATTGCCGCTGTCGCCAAAGATGCTGCTGCGGATGAATACAGAATTTAATGCAAGAAGTTGCATTCCTTAACTTACTATGTATTGATGTGTCATAATTCCTCGTTGTTGGTTTTGTTCAAATACTTTTTCTGTTTAGTTTATTGGTTCTTCTGAACTGCCGCTAAAACATAAATATCGCTATTATTTATAATATTCAAATTGCAACGCTTTTTACAATATTGTTTGTTTGTGTAGTTTATTTGTTTATGCAGAACCCTTATGCAAGCAAATTGCGTAAGTGCCGTTTTGTAAACAATTTGTGCAAGTCTTGCTACAAAGTAACAAGCGACAACAACCAAAACTGCTGTTTCAGAGAAGAGCTAACGATTTGACTAATTCTTAAACATCAGTGCCGGTTACAGCCCGATCCTATACTTTAATGAGTCTTCTTCGCCGACACGTTGCTGATCCGTAAGCGACACCCTACATGGTCGCTAATAACTATTAATCTAACCGCTAACTGCTTAAGCTTCGCTTACTGGTAAATGCGATAGATCCACTCGATATGCCTCCTCGCATATTTCCGTTTCAATTGAACACAGTACTTCAAACTCTCTGTTTTTCCCCAGTTAGATGTATATTTCCTAACATCAATAGGGTATCATACCTCATGCTACACGCAATGTATTCTGCACCTACTAATGCATTAAAGGTAAAGCCATTGATCGTGGCATCAACGAAAATCATTCCACCTTTACTGGCAGACGCTTCCTCTTTGCTATCAACCGTATTGACCCGCTCGCTTTTAATCATTCTGTCTCTCTGCTCTTTACACTGATGCGCATGATGCCCTTTGTCACATTTAAAACACTTCTTTTTAATCAACCCATTACTTTCTGACGCAATTTGTCCCACGTATACTTTGTTTGCATCTACTTGTATACCCCTAACTTTCTCGTTTAGGCGAATTTGTTCCTTAAGTTCGCCTACTGTCTTCGCTTGATATAAAATTTCCTTCCATTCCTACGATTGAGGCTTTTCTGTCCGAAAAGTAGCTGCGCCAGAGAGTAACTTCCGGGCAGCCGAGCTCCTCCAATCGTTCAATCACCCTATCCCAGATTAGGTAGTCAAAAGCTCCCTTAAAGTCAACAAATATGCCAAGGACATATTCGTTGACGTTCTCCCTAACGGCACTCTGGACATACATCCAAGCATCCTCTACACTGCGTCCTTTCCTGAAACCATACT